GGAGAGGAAGGGGGGAAAAAGTTACAGAGAGGTAGGGAGGCAAACCATAAGAGGCACTTAAATACAGAGAACTGAGGGTTGATGGGGGGTGGGGGAGAGGGGAAAGTGGGTGATGGCTATTGAGGAGGGCACCTGTTGGGATGAGTACTGGGTGTTGTATGGAAAGCAATTTGACAATAAATTATATTTAATATAAAAATTTCCAATATGAGTGAAATCATACAGTTAAAAAAAAACCTCCCTTGCTTTGTTTTAGTTTCTACTTAAAGGCCACCTTTGCAAGGAAGCATCCCCTGAACACTCCCACGTAAAACTGCTCCCTTCCCCAGTGTATTTTTTCTTTATAGTTATCACCTTTTTCATAGTATAAAACTTGCTGACTTATTATAGCATGTGCTTATAATGTAAGCAACATAGAGAAACAATTTATGTTTTGCCCATACTTAACCTCAGAGCTTAGATTTGGCTGGCAGCTAGCAGCACTCAAGACATGGTTGTTGAATGAATACGGTTCTTCCACACAGAACACTTCCGTACCCTTGACTGTTGCCTAATTTAGCTTCTACTTTCCTGACCCTCTAGAGTAAAATAGGTCATCTAGCAATGTATGTTTTTGTGCCAGTGAACTAACTCATCACAGCCATAATATTACATTTCATTGCATCTGATTGGTGCAGGTCCAGGACAGCAGGTGCCAAGACATTTGCCGCTGCCCATCCCGCCCACTGTAGTCCCAACTGTCATCTAAGCAGAGAGCTGCTGCTCAATACATGTTTATTGATGGAATTTTGGTGGAGTTTAGCATCAGACAATAGTTCTAATGCTTAGGTAAGTAACTAAGCTCCAAGCCCCTTTTACCTGGTAAGCCTCCTCTAGCATCGCTCTTCTGAACCTCAGTGTTGTAGCCAAATTTGTTTGTTTGTTTGTTTGTTTGTTTTTTCAGTTCCTTGAAGGTGCCAGGCTCACTTGATTTACCGCTTCCCCTTCCTGGAAACTACCTGCCTCCATCAATCCCCTTTACACACACTTGAAACATATCCTTTAGACCCTAGCTTAAATACTTTGCTAGGGAATCATTCCTTGCCTTCAAATATCAGTTGAAGTCAGGTTAGTGTGTTATTACAAAACCTTATTCCTTCCCTTCATATAAATAAGGTGTGTCTGTTTTTAAATATTCACTCATTTTTGTAAATATTTGATTCATGTCTATTTCCTCTGCTACAGTGCAAGACACAAGAGAGCAGTCACCATGCCTACCATGGTGACCACCGATGAAAGGAATCAGCGCTTGATTTCAAAGAAAGAGCCTCAGAAATGGCTACCGTTGTTTCTAGGTTCCACATAAGGCAGCAGGCTCACAGATTACTCACTCCTGACCTAGGACGGTAATGACAAATTCTCTTTTTGTTGACTCTTTTACCTCTGTTACCCAGCACAATCCCTGGGACATAGCAAGAACATAGCAAGTACTCGCTTAAAAAAAAAAAAAAAAAGAAAGAAAGAAAAGAAAAGAAAAATGGAAGGCAGATACTTTAGAAGGAGATGTAATAAAGTCCTCCAGGACTGAATATTGTACATAAATTACTAATCTCAGTTATTTAGCCAAGGTATTTAAAATCAGTTAAATGGCATCACTGCTTACAAATCAGACTCTCTGTGCATTTATATCCCAGAAGCCTCAAAAGTGAAGGACGAGTTTATGACCTGTGGTGACATTGCTGAGGGACAAGTTGAACCTCTGAGAGAGAATCAAATTAATTTACAACAGACTGTACTTTTCAGAATATTGTCCTTCATAAGCCATGCTATCTTTTAGAATCCCTAAGCATGTGTTCTGACCTAACTTTGTTTTTCTTCAAACCTTTTAACAGAAAGACTTCTAAAAGTCTTTTAAAGTTAGACAAACTCTAACTTACAATACAGTTCATAGAATTAAGTCAACACACGTAAAAATATTCTACGAGGAGTATTTTCAGAGCACTAACTCAAAATGGTAAGAACATGTCCCTCTCTTATTACACTAAATCAAGGACTTCTCTTTCTAGTTTGCCCCATCTACATCTCTTAACTAAAGACCACTGGGTATCTATTTGGAGGCTCTGGATGGTGCTTGAGCACACTGGAATGAAAGAGATTAAGGCATTGTAATGGTGGAGAAAAAAGGAGTGGAATAAACATGCAACACTATCAAGTCTAGGCGAATAAACTATGGACCAGACCTAGCTCCAGTGAAAGCTCTCAAGGATTCTTCTCAGATCCCTGCCAGGTTTGTTCCCCCTTATATGGAGTCCATATACCTGTTTTTCTCTCTTAAAATTCTTCCCATTCTAACAGAATTCCTCTGGGCGCAGCACAAAACATAATAATAGTCCACATTTTCTGAAGCACACATGGAATTCTTATTATGTGCAGAGAATACTTGTGCTGCTGTTAAAGTGACTCTTGTATTTATCTTTTTATCCTTTATTATTTCTTCTCTCTTCCTCCTTCTCTGCCCACTTCTCTTCCTCTCCCCCTTCCTTTTAAAAATTCAACTAGTTTAAGAGCAGATCATATCACGTGCAAAGAACCTAAGAGAGAATCATGAAAATTTCAAGTCAAATGGGAGCCCAGCATTCCAGAGTAATTCAAACCAAAGGTTAAATAAGGCATAGAATTCAAGCATGGTTTCCTCTAGCACTGAGGAAAGTGACAGAATGAGAAGAAAGAAACATTAAAGCTGGGGCATTCTCACCACAAAATTCCTTCCAACTCTGCCCTTTTAGATACTAGTCTAGATTAGCTACAAGTCAGGGCACAGTAACAGGAAATGTAGAGAGAAATTAGGATATCAAAAGGGAAAAGGGGGTTGAGGGGAAAAGCGGAGGTTTGGAGGCAGTAGTCAACACTAATTACTGGGAGGTGATCACGGACAAATGCAGAGGGGGTCTATATAATTTAGGAGTAGCAAATATATGCACAGCTATCTCAGGAGGTATCTCTGGGCCGAAGAAATAAAGACAGAAAATAAGGCAAAAAAGAAAGCACATAGGATAATAAATATAGAAAACCTGAGGGACACAGCTCAAATGATCCTAGTTAAGATCCAATTCAGTCAACATCTGCGAGTGCTATGGATTGTTCTTCAAGGTGGTCTAGCCTCACGGACATCAAGGTGGAAAGATTATATTCTAAAGCTAGTTGTATTAGGTCTAGTATTACCAAAATGGATGTCTTTCAGTTGTTTTAACTAGAAATAGTCTATGACTTAGAAAAATGGGTGCCTTAATTTTTTTAACCTGTCACCCTCCCAACTCTGCCCCCTAGCCTCCTTTTATCATCTGAAAATTTCTGAGGAACGCTGAGTATTACATTTTTACCCATCTATATATAATTAGTTACAACGCTATTTTATCAGAACTATGGAATTCTTTCCAATGGTCACAGCAGTGGCCTATCAATACAATCCTTTAGCTGGTCACAAGTGGTGTGTGTATACAACATATGTGATCATATATATGATGATATATTATAATATCAGGTGTCACAAGCCTTTCTACGTCTGTAATCACCGCAATTTCACTGAATCATAAGCAATTAACATGGGTGACTAATATATGTCAAATGCTCGGTTGTAGCAGTTCAAGAATTTTCTTTTTGTCATTTAATGATAGAGAAAAAGATAACATTGTTAAAGACTGGCAGTCTAAAGCAGTAACCTGAGGAAATGACATTTTCCTGGGATAAAAAAATACAATTCACACAAAAAGAGAAGAAAACAGAGATAAGGCTGTAAGAAACTGTGTTACAGGTTAGGTAAGAGAAATGATGTTTAGAACAACCTTGGGCTGATAAAGCTATTTAAGCCCACACTGATTGGATCCTTAGACATGTCAGACTATTGGCCCCTAACAATCACATAGAAAAGGCAGGGATTTCATGATTTCACGGGTACAATGAATGCCTCAAGTATTATTTGCAGTTGTGTGTGTGTGTGTGTGTGTGTGTGTGTGTGTGTATGAATGTATGTATCACAATCAGAACAATAAATTGTTCTATTTTTCCTTAATGTTGATGTTTTGGTATATGTACATATTGCTTCATTGAAAATGTTCTCTTTTCTTTCTTTCTTTCTTTTTTTTTTTTAACAATAAAACATCATTGTTCCCAATTAGGAAGAAAAGACAAAAATACAAAAACACCCACCTTACCCTTTGTGACTATGTACTGGTTATATTCCCAAGCACACAATTACTATGACTCAAGTTTAATGAGGGCTTGCTTCTCCAATAAAACTTCCAAAACTTAAATACCCTTCTATGCCCTCATCAAGACTATAACTGAAGTTTTCTAGGAAAAAAAAATATACTGAAGGTGTTCAATTTCTCATTATTTGATTGAATCCTTGTGTGTGTGTTTTTTAGTTTTGTCCTCTTCCCAGCTGTAGGTTATTTTTTATTAATGTTTATTTTTGAGAAAGAGAGAGAGATAGACTGTGTGTGTGTGTGTGTGTGTGTGTGTGTGTGTGTGTGTGTGTGTACATGAGTTGGGGAGGGGCAGAGAGGGAGGGAGACAGAATCCGAAGAAGGCTTTGCACTGTGGACACAAAAGCCCAGGGCTCAAACCCACAAACAGTGAGATCGTGACCTGAGCTGAAGTTGGATGCTTAACCCGCTGAGCCACCCAGGCAACCCCGCTTGACTTCTGAAGAGGGTATAAGTAATATCTTCCGACCACTTCTCTAATACATATTATTGAATTACAATTTTTTTTTTAAAAAACAGCCTTTGGGGAAATACATGAATGCAGATTTTTTTATTATATAATATTGTGAACAGTGCATAGTTAATGAAAGGGAAATGTGCACAAAAGGCACATAATTTGAATTAGTTTAAATTAATATACTCCATTGTAAATATATGTAATATACAAATTACATTATAAATTTTCTAAATATTTTCTGAGTTGCAGTTAATTATTTTGAATGATAACATTAGTGTATTAAAGAAAAATAACCTGACCTTAAGCTGTTCTTCCAAAGCAGCAGTTGCTTGGTCTCCACCAGATTCATCGACCACCACCACCATGTGAGTGAGAGAATTGACCCTGACTTGTTCCTGTTCTAGGTCTTCTTGAAGCACCTGAAAGATAAAAATAAAAACAAAAATAAAAATAATAATGGTAATTAAAATAATAGTTCCCTGAACTGAATGCCAAAAACATTTCTCCCCAACTGTGTGGGATTTGTTTTTCATCTTTTAGGTAAGGTAATGTTTTCTTAAACAAAAACCATTCCAAACATATTTTCTGCTATGGTGCTCAACAAAATTGGCATACATTTACTGTCAACTGTTGGAAATACAGAGGGAACATCTGTTGAGAAAGTAATGGTAGGATGTTCTACACCTTATCCCACCTTCACTCATTTTTTGAAGGACTTTTCTCCTAAAATTACCGGCTGCCTCTGGCATCGTCATTGTCTCCCTCTCTACTGAAGTTCTCCCTTATCAACGCACACAAAACAAACTCTCTTGACCCAACAAACCCTTTCTACTACTGGTTTATCATTTTGTTCCTCTTCACTGAAAAATATTTCGTTGTCTACACTTACTCTTTCCATTTCCTTACCCTACTATTCTCTTTGCCAACTATCCCACTGAAACATCTCCTGTAAAGGTTGCCATCAACCTCCAGGTCCTCAAATCCATTCTTCTTTCATTCTCTTCTCATGAGTGCCATGTATCACTCTTCCGTGATTATCCTTGCACCTCACTGAGTCCTGCTTTTTAACTCCTTTACTGGTTCCTTCTCATCTGCTCAACTACAAATCAGATGTCAATCCTCTGTATAAAAACCAATGGAGTCACACTTCATTAAGAGGGAAAATACAAATTATTTATCTCCTTAAACCCTACAGTACCTGCCTAGCTCTCTAATCTAGTTGCATACCATTCTTGCCCTCTGATACTATGTTTCAGCCACAATAGTCTTCTTTTCCATCATGTGTCAAGTCCTTGGCTTCACCTAAAGCGTTATCCCTCCATCTCTCTAAATAACGTCTCCTTCTTAATGTTCAAGACTCATTTTAAGTGTCACTTGCCCAGAGAGGCTTTTCATGAAGATGCTATGTACATTTCCTTCTATTTTACTCTCAATCTCTGTAATTTTTTTAATACAACAATTTCACAACTCAGTATTTTCTTGTATGTTAGCTTAGTCATTTATTGTCTGTCTCTACTTACTGGAATAGAAGAGCCACTAGAACAGACATGTCCCTTGTCCTTCTCACTACAGACTCCAAGCAACTGAAGATCAATAAACTTTTTGAATGAATGGTGCCAGGTGGAGGGATAAGGGCAATACACACAGATGAATGTGGATAAAGATTACAATCTAAAAGGAGGGATTTGTTTTTCTAAACTGTAATCATAATTACACTGACATCACATATAACCACAGAACAGTATTTTAATCTTTCAAACATCATAGTGTACAAGTTTTTTTTTTTTTGGTAAAGATAAACAGGGTATAGAGAGTAATAAAATAAATAGAGAGGAAATATAGAAGAAGTCAACAGGGAAGGATGCTCCAATGCCTCCAGGACCTTGTCACGCTACACTAACGGTTATTAAAAAAATCCCTAAATGCATATGCAAAATGTCTGGCCATCTAGTTTGCTCCCTGAAATACTTTATTGTATACTATAAGAATGGAGGAGCAGGTTTGGGACAAGATCTGTTATTTTCTAGACAATCGGCACTCCCTGCCTGGGAAACAATGATGCTTGGTACCTACCATAGTAGCTCTTAGTTATGCATGCCCTGTGGTGGATGTAAGGGAACTTATTGAGATTGGTCACACCACAAACTCAAATGCATGCACATTTTTACCCTAGGACTTTCATTTTTTGAGTCTCTTTCATTTTCGGAGCACTATAAAATCACTTACTTCTAGTTTCTCTCTCTAGAGTTTTATGCTATATTTTCAAGTGAAGCAATTTAGAATAAAATGACTCTGCATTTATTTTGTGTGTGGAGTCTATACTGCCTATCATGCCTCTGACATTCCAGAGCTTACACTGGTTAATAAAACTCTTTCTGCCATGAGGCCGAAAATGGAAACATTAACATTCAGAGTTGTCCTTGAAAGTCATGTTGAGCCTGTGTTTTCTGAGTTATATAAGGCAGGACTGGGAACATTTCAAATGTGTCCTCCAGGAATTTTAAGAATAATTAAAATAATATTTTGGTAGCTGATACATGATAAGTTGATGTCTTTAACTTGGCCAATTCTTTTCCCCTATCATTCAAGTATGAGAGCTATATAATTACATGTATTAAAAACTGAGAAATAATGCTATACTGCTCACATTTTTACATCTAAATTTTTTTCACTGTTTTAATATATTTTAGTAAAGGAACTTGAGAATATCATTGTTTGATCTGTAAAGTACTAATTTTAAACTCAGGTCTAGTCTTTCTAAAGCATATGTGATCAAATGCATTATTTATTTTCTCCATTGCTTTGATTTCTGATTTTGTTTTGCTTATCTAGTTGCTTTTTAATCAGAAATTATATTCTTGACATATGCATCAAGGGTTTACTTCTTATGCTTTTGCAAAAGTGCTAACAAAAAAAATCACGAAAGCGAGTTGTGAATTGATAGCTTCAAAATCAAACAGAAGAACTACCTGGATTTGTAGTGAGTAAAGGGAAATAAAGGAACATGGGAAAGGTACTCCATAGTGGCTGAAATTCTGGAAGAGTGCATAGCACTGGAGTGGATCAGCGTAGACTATTTGATTTAAGTTAATTCCAGTGTGTCTTTTTCCCTTCTATGACTTTTTCAAATCACATCTCTTCTTTTACCCATAATCAGGAATTAAAACAAAAAGGGTTCCACTGACTTTTTTGAGCATACTCAAAAGCCTCAAGACAGAAGCTATTGCAACATTGTAATCATCCTTCCTATTTCCTCAGATGTTGCCTCTGAAAATAAATAGAATGCATACCACAGTATTTGCTAATGCCCCCAGTATCAGCAAAAGACAAAAGACTATAAAATATCCAATGTCTAGAGTTCATTTTTTTTAAAGTTGATTCTTAGAAGTAGCAAAATGTCACATACAAAAAGGTGAGATTAAAAAGTTAAAATTTTTTGGCCCACTTACGTATCCATGAATAAGGGTGTTGAACGCTGGCAGAAACTATGCCCTTCTGCTTCCCTCTTTGAAAAAAACACAGATTCTCAAACTACTATTTTTAAAAATACATTAAAAATTTTAAGCTATTTTAAAATTAATTTTAATTATTTACTTCTTATGTAGTTGAATTTTTCATAGCTGGATTTATACAAAAGATATTTATAACAGATTCGCTAATTAATCCTGAAATAGGAGCCAAATTATTCCAAATATTGATGTATCCCCAGAGATATATGCTAACATTTTTGCCTGTCAGAAGATAATAGCTTCAAATTAAAATGCTGTAATATACGATTGTTAAAGTATGTTTTTCTTTATTAAAAGTATATAAATTATTTATATACATATAAGTACCTGCTAGGTATTTTATTATGCATTTCTTGGCATTATTTTTATTAAAGTACTCCTTTTGTTACACTTACCACATTAAAAAAAAATTGTCATGCTCCTAATTAAATTTCTATACCATTATTAGATAGATACAAATGTCAGCAATGTTTGTTCTCTAATGTCAACTAACAATCTTTATTTTTCCTTATGACAAGAGAAAAGGCCAACAGTGAAATGTAACATTAAAAATGCTTAGATTCGACAAACAGATTTTGTTATACCTCTGTAAATAATTCTATGTCTTATAAATTATTCTGTAGTTAAAGGTCCTGACCAAATTTGTTATTCCCTTAGTACATATTCACGGTTTTGTGATTTAAATATGACTTTTCTTCCATTCTCTTCAAATGTCATCAGTGGTAGTAAATTCTTCTTTCCCTGACCCATGTCAAGTTGGTTTTCAAAAACTGGCTTAGAACAATCACTGGAGAAGAGTCATTTCAAGTGTTTACTTCAGATGTTAGCAATTTAACTCTTTATTAGTACATATGTGAAATAATGCATGGAAAATAAAAGAATGGAAATATGTAAGGCTAGGGAATTATTAGATATGATATCTACAGGTGAAGATGAACAATTAATAGAAATGTAGAGAAACAGAATGCAAAGAACAAGGTCAGTCTCTTATATTCTCCCTAGGAAGCTATCTATATATTATTTCTCTTGGACATCGTAAATGCTCCACAACATGGAATACAAAAGGGCCGTGGCTGCATATGTATATAGTTTACTTTATTACTCCTTCTACTTCAGTAATGAGCCAACAGATAATTGCCAATACCAGGTCCTACATGCACACACATAAACACACACATCTAGAAACAACACAGATCATGGACTATGCATGGATTCCCAGCCCATCTACTGCCCCTTACAGATTACTTTAAATTAATATAATTAAAAGATGTTTAATAAAATATTAGGTTTAAGTAATTTTTACTTTTTTAGCTTAGCCAAAAATATGTTCGTGGCAAGAAGGACTGATGAAAACAAAACTTTCATCAAACATAAAATTTGCAAAAAATCTTAAGAAACTAGAAGAGTTTCTACAAACATGGTCTAAGTCCAATATCTAGGAAAGTAATATTTTAAAAAGTCTACCTCAGGGGCGCCTGGGTGGCTCAGTCGGTTAAACATCCGACTTCAACTCAGGTCATGATCTCGCAGTTTGTGAGTTTGAGCTCCTCCTCGGGCTCTGAGCAGACAGCTCAGAGCCTAGAGACTGACTGCTTCAGAATCTGTGTTTCCCTCTCTTTCTGGCCTTCCCTTGTTCATACTCTGTCTCTCTCAAAAATAAACAAACATTAAAAAAATTAAAAAAAAATAAAAAGTCTACCACAAAAGCAAAAAAAAAAAAAATCCCTAGACACTTATGAACAATTAGCTAATGCAATACATGTGGATATGAATTGATTTTGTTTTCAAATAAAAACATCCTGGCTGAATCGGAAATTTTATGATTTCCTAAGAAATGATAAGAATGTAGGCAATTTAATCTTCTCTTTACCTTTTCTCTTATGGCCATTCTTATTTCTTTCTTTCTATCA